CTCTCTGTTTGCAGGTAGAAAGCAAAGAGTCTGATCTAAAGTTAGCAGGAAAAGGAACAAAGTCAATGGACCTTTGCAGCCAAAGTGTAAATATTTCAGCAGTAAGAACTGAAATATCAGAGGCCCTCAATAACTCTTGGAGAGGTGAAAGAAGCAAATTGTACAGTTCCTGAAAAGGCTGTTCTGGGCTCTGCATTCTTCAGCCAGTCTGAGTTTGATGGTAGCCAGTACTCTGCTGAAGGTCCTGGGCCTGATGGGGACCAGTGGCAAAATGGAGGCCTCTGCCCAGCTATTCCCCATCCTAACTTTATAAAATTCATTATTTCTTTCCAAGTGCAGAACTTTGCACATGCTTTTATTAAAAGTGGTTCTACTCTTTCAGGCCATTTCTCCCACTGATCAAGATCATCTGAATGCTAATTTTGTCTTCCAAATACATTGCAACCCCTCTCAGTATGGTTGTCTATAAAATTTAGTAGGCACACTTTCTAGTCCACTGTATGAATCACTGAAGAAACTCTTAATACCACACTGAGAACAGATCTCTGCAGGACCCATTCTTGATACTCTTCTCCAGACAGACAGCATGCCATTGAAAACCAGTCTTAGAGTTTTCTAATCAGCATCAGGCTCTCCTAACAGTGGTTTCAGTTGATCCAGTTTCCCATGTTTCCTAGCTTGTTGGTAAGACTGGCAGATGAAAAAGAATAAAAATCCTTACTGAAGCATATAACATCTATTGTTAATTCCTTATCCATGAGGCCTGTTAGTCTATCATGAAAGATTGGTTTGACTTGATTTCTTTTTTTGGCAAATGGAAAATGTGAATTGTCTACTTAATGTTTATTTGCTCCAGTATCACAGGGGGAGGCAGTAAAGTAAGGCTGGATGGCCAGTAATTACTCAGATCCTTTTTTTTTAAATAGGGAATATGTGTGTCCTTTTCCAGTCTCCTGAACCTCTCCATCCTCTAGAGATCTCAAAGATGATTGCCAGTGGGTCTGACGTTGCTTCAGCCAGTTCTCAACCATCACAGGATGAATTTCATCAAGCCTAACTGGTCTGAAAGCATTGACTTTGCCTAAGCGCTTAGAAATCTAGAGTGACTTTTTACCCACTTGTCACTGGTGCTGTTCAAGGTATTCACAATCAGAGTGAAGACACGTGAAAAATACTTGCAACTTCTTGGTATCTTTGGTCGATTTTCCATTTCATTGACCAGAAGGCCAATCCTTTCACTGGTCTACCCCTCTCTGCCCATGTAATGGCAGGCACTATTGATGGGCTGATAATTCTTCTCCACCACAGATAAGGCAATTATTAGTTTCCTCTTTGAAGTACCTTTCTACTTAATTGAAGGCAGTTGCTACATCTCCCTCAATCCCTTCTTCTCTAAACTACCCGCTGAAATTTTTTCAGTCCTCCTGCTTGAATGGCCCAAGTGAGTTGTTCCTCTCTGTGGGTTCAGTCCCCACATTTGCCTGTTTTGTAGCAGCGTGGTACCCAAACTGAACACTCGGTCCTGTGTCACTCGGTGCTGTGAGTGCTGAAGTCACAGTAGTACAGAGTTGATCTGACAGCTTATTTCATCCAACCTACAGGCTATCCTAGCCATACAAACTGATACGATGTGTGCCTTTTTGGCAACAGCAGGATGTTGATGTACATTCTGCTTTTTTCCAAGGAAGATGATACTCTGTAAACGCTGACGCCATCTGAAACTTTGCATTTGCAAAACCAACAGAGGATCCCATCTTTGACGTACCCATCCTTTGAACCTTGTTTTTGATGAATGAGCCATGAGTGGCTGAGCAAAAGAAGCTGTGTGAATTAGCACCCTAAAATCTGCAAGGAGGGAAAGGAGAGCACAAAAGCACAGAGTCTACCCGGGCAGGAGCGAGGCCTGGGTTCAGCCCAGAAAACACACGGGAGGAAGGCGCCTTCTCCCAGGCACGGCCTGGGGCGCCGGGTCCCGACATCCCACAGGCAGGGGGGCGGGAGCGGC